TCCTGCTTCAGCTCCTAGGTATGTGTCAATACACCTTGCTCCCTAAAGTGTCTTAGACCTTTTTGAATGTTGAGGGATGGGAAAGAAACTTTGAAGTCTGGAATTTACTGAAAATTGCTATCCTGTAGCTGAAAATAGGGAAACTAATTTTATTTTTCTCAACTCCCAGACGCAATCCAGCTTCTAGAACTAAGATAATTGTACTTGTTTTAATAGACATAGATGCTTATATCTGGAGTGTTTGCCTGATGTTTGTATCACCAAAAGTCTAATGAAAGCAAATATCCTGAATTATCCCTATTATTCTGGCTCTGTTTTTACTTTTTAAAACATTTTTTTTAAATTTTTAAAACAAACCTTTTCTCATTTTGCATACCGATCCCAGTTCCTACTCCCTCCCTTCTTCCTGCTAACACCCCCCCCTCCCGCAAGTCAGAGAGGGTAAGGTATGGGGAAATCAGCAAAATCTGTCTCATTACTTGAGTCAGGATGAATACTATATAGAACAAATTACCCATCCATAGGAAATGGGCTCCAAAAAGCCAGTTCATGCACTAGGGATAAACCCTGGTCACACTGCCAGTGGCCCAACAGACTGCCCAAGCCACACAACTGACACCCATATTCAGAGGGCCTAGTTTGGTCCTACGGGGGTTCCCCTGCTGTCAGTCCGGAGTCAGCGCGCTCCTACTAGCTCACGTTGTTTCTATTCTGGACCTTTTAAAAAAAAAGTTTTCTGGGTTTTCTCTCTTGCCTTGTTTAAGGTCTTTCTGTCAGTTCACTTTACATTGAAACAATATGCTGTATCAGACGACCTCCATAAAACAAACACCCCTGTTTGCTTTAGACAAGTAGACAAGAACATTTGGCTCACAGACAACCACCCGCCATCGTGTCAGCTGTCCTTCAGCACCCATTGACAGAACTCCTCCCAACACGATGTCACTCACAAACAGATACCGGTTGGATCCTCTGATCTGATTCCCCCTTCTTATATATTTGCATGAGAGAAGTTGGGTAGTCGATCATGGAGTTGAAAGAAAATAACAAAAGGGGGAAAAACAGGCTAGAGAAATGTACCAGTGGGAAGCAGTAACACCTTGTACCCAACAGCTATGGGTCCTGAATGGTAGCAAACAAGCTGAGTGGCTGTGAAGACAGTTTACTTAATTAATTTGAAATTTATTCTATTGTCCTCACAAACAGAGGAAGTTTTCTGTCCCAAGTGGCATGATGGAGACTAGTGGACACATTGAGATTTGAAATTCAGTTTCAAATCGTAGTCTTATAGATAAGGTTTATGCAACTTTGGGCAACATGGGTGGGTGTATACACTGATGATGTCTTAGGGTGTTGGGCCTCACCTTGCTCCTTTTTTGAGGTAGGTTCCTTGGCTGTTAGCCAGTGCATGTGCCAGGCCTGACGGCCTGCAAGTTTCCAGGGATTCTCCTGTCTCTGCCTACATCTCCACACAGGAGCTGGGGGATTACAGACACATGTTACCAATCCAGCCTTTCCATGTACTCTGGGGATCCGAGCCCAGTGGCTTTGCAAGCACTTTCCCTGCTGGGCCATGCCCCCATGCCCTCCGGTTACTAGGTTTCAAAAGGAAACATGTGTTGGCTAATTTGATAGAACAATGTTGTCCCATTTTTGTTTCAGTGTGCACTTCTTTTGAGTAAAACAAAATACTGTATTTGTTCATTTCGCACGGAAATTTGCTTCTTTCTGTCTTAGCTTAGAAACCCTAATCTCCTAGCTGCCTGTCCAATTCCAATTTAGAATTTCTGCCCAAGAGAGAAACTGTGAGAAGCCAAGTTTCTGTTTATCACCTAGATTAGTTTCTATGTGTTCAGCATATTTTTGCACTGCAGTGTTGGAAGAGATTTGTTAAAATGCAGATGCCCGGGTTAAACAAAAATAAAGTCTGAGAAAGAATATGTAGACTGACACCAAATATGAAGATTATGTGCTGATACGACATCCTCTAACACGCTAGGATTTTAAGACGCCTAAGTCTCATCTGTGAGGTAGTTTTGTCCCTGTCATTAGAAGAAAAAAGTACTTCACTTTTGGGAGCCAAAAAAAATGTTTAAAATATCCTAGGTCAACACCATGGTGATAGCGCATGCCTTTAATGTTAGCACATGGGCGGTAGAGGCAATCAGATCTCTGAGTTCGAGACCAGTCTGGTCTACAGAGAGAATCCTAAGACAGCCAAAACTACACAGAGAAACTCTGTTTTGCAAATAAATGAATAGATAGATAGATAGATAGATAGATAGATAGATAGATAACAAATTTTCTGATCATCAGCCTTGTGAAAGTCACTCATTTTGTCTGAGCCCTGCTTCTTCTCTTAGAAGGGCAAACATAATCCTAGCCCACATGTTTGCTTGAAGTATGTGTGACAGTGTTGGGAAAGTGCTAGCTATACTTGTTTTTGTTTTTTTTTTTCATTGTTTACTGTGTAGTTATTTGCCCTCATCTCACCTCTTCCTTCTCAGGAAAGCCTGAAACTGCTTTGGGCAGAATGTCCACAGAACTGCTTTTCTGTCTTTCTTTTCTTTCCTCATTTTTATTAGTTCTTTGAGACTTTTCTGCACTGTATTTTGATCATAGTCACTCCTCTTCCACTCCTCCCTGATCCTTCCTCCCTGTCCTACCCACCCAGGTTTGTGTACTTTTCTTTTTTTAAATCCACCAAGTATAGTTTGTACTACTTCATACTACCCTAACATCACTGAAAATAGTCAACTCCTCAGAGGTCACATTCTTTTTTTTTTTCCTTTATGTTTTTTTAAATTTTATTTTAGAAACAACTTTACAGCTAGGGTCTCTGTGCCCTCACTAGGTCAGGTCAGCTGCTTCTGCGGGTTTCTCCAGCACCATCTTGGCTCCTTTGCATCCCTCCTCCCTCTCTATAACTGGATTCCAGGAGTATGGCTCAGTGCTTAGCTGTGGGTGCCTGCTTCTGGCTCGAACAGCTGCTGGATGATGGTGCTAGGATGGCAACCAAGGTGGTCATCAATCTCATTATAGGGGAAGGGCATCAAAGGCAACCTCTCTACTACTGCTGAGATTGTTAGTTGGGGTCATCCCTGTGGAACCTGGAACATTTCCCTAGTGCCAGACCTCACTCTAAACCTATACTGGCCCCCTCTATCAAGGCATCTCCTTTCTTGCTCTCCTCTATTCCTCCCCTGTTTCAGTTTTCCTCTGAGATCCCTCTTGTTCTCCTCTCCACTCCTCTTCTTAAAGCAAGCAGACTTTCCCTCTTCCTTCTGTGCCCATCTTCCCTCTTCATGCTAGGATTTTGTCTGGCTTCAGCCTGTGCATGTCTTGTGCTTGCTGCCTCATTGTCATGAATTCACTGTCCAGAAAACAATGCTTCCTTGTAGTCACCCACCAACCCTGGCTCTAACCATGTTTTTTCCCCCACCCCCTTCCCATCCACAATGATCTCCTGGTCTTGGAAGGAGCAAGTGTGATAGAGATGTTCCTTTTAGGACCACTCTTAACTCTCCTCACCTTGACCAGTTGTGAAGTTCAGTGTCAATTTCCATCTGTTGTTAAAAGAAGGATGGGGGTTGATGAATGCACTAACACAGGCCTGTACAGCATGAGGAAACTGCTTTTCTGATGATTTACTGTACCAGAAAGGTTGCCTTTACCTCAGCTGGTGTCCTGTGCTTGGGACTCTGACCAGTCAGAACAGATGCTCCTTACTTCAAGTGTCCTGGTAATCTGTGCTTCTGTCAGTGTTTAAACAATACAGAGTCATCCAATTCATCACTGAGGATCTACTGTGTGCCAGGAACCAATTATACATACATCAGTTAACCAAGTAGACTTATCGCTTCACACCCAGCTCCTCCTTAGTAAGCATGTAGAACACATAGGCCAGGAATCTTTCAGCATTTATTTCCATAGCCATATGTGGAAGATAGCCCTTTGTTTTATTATTAAATCTCACAAGAAAAATTTAAGACATACATGATGAAAAGGTACTGTTGTAGGACTCATGCCAAGTCACAGGGTAGTAGCCAAGTGAATCATATAGCTGGAGTGTCCAGGGTCCCCTAAGCCTTGCACATGCTCAGAATTTGTTGGGGTTCCGGCCTAGTGATCTGTTTTGATTCTGGGGGATTCAAGAACCTCAAACTAATGCAATCTCCCTTTAGTTTCTTTCTAAGGTATAGTCATTCCTTAATTTCAACTCAACAACGATGTGCTATTATATAGAGAATGGAAGAGAGCCTGGCTTTAAAAGATTATTCAGAAAAGATGACAATTTGTCCGAGATGTAGGAATTAGCAGAACATTTTCCTAGTTTGGGAGGCCTGGGGACTGATCACCAGCATTTCATTCTCCCACAGAAGATGATAATGCAAAGACCAACAACAAAAGAGAGGTTGGGAAAGCAGCTTCAAAGCTCTGGCCACATCCCCAAGTGTCACAAGCTGCAGACTGGCCCACACTTATCCCACTTTCAGAAGAATTTTACAATAGAATGAAAGGAAAAGAAGTCTGAAGCCTTGAAATTCTTCTCATGCCTAGCTACACACTGGGATTTTGTCTGGCTTCATCGTGTGCATGTCTTGTGTACAATTATAATGTTCTGTTCTGTTCCCGTTGATTGCTTCCCATGCACCATCAGACCCATGAGGGCTGTCTTCGAGAGTGCATAGGGTGCTAGAGAGCACCCAACAGAAACTTTTGAGTCCTGCAGGGAAAGTTCTTGAAGGGAGTGAGGTGTCATGAGACTTGAAACAAGAGAGTTAGTTTTTCTAAAGCATGGAACAGTCCCTTCCAGCAACAGGAGCAGAATTTCCTTCTCTCAGAAATCAAAAAGGGCTTAAGTGGACCTGTGTACCAGAGTAGAGGGAGACCACGAAGGAACCTTCAGAGGCCAGGGACAACCATCTGGAGACGAAACAACCTCGTGAAAGGGTTTTGTGTTTTCTTCTCGTCTGAGACTGAATCATGTGTTGGGGCACATGGAGAACAGAGAGTTGACGAGGGTAGACCACGTAGAACCCTTGGTTGTTGATGTCATGGTGGCCATTGATGCTGTCAAAGACCTCATTGATCCCAAGGGTACACAGTGCATGTACTTCTTGCTAGCAGGCATAGCTAACAGCCTCCTCATTGCCTTTGCATTGTCTGGTGCTACAAGGTGCTTTCTGGTCCCTGAGGTTTTGAGTTCTCGAGTCCACAATCCTCTTCTCTGCCTCCCACTAATCAAAATACCTCAAGAATACTTAAAACTCCCTGAAACTGTAACCTTTGACTCTAGAAGGTCACATGTTTCTTATCATAAATGTGAATCCCAATTCTTGCCTGGTAGCATTGCTGTAAGAATGAAAGGCAATGAAGTTTGCCAAGTGCCTTCTTGGCACTTGCACACATGGGTGTTATAACAAAGATTATAACTCCATCCACTGGAAATTAAGACAACTCCTCAAAGTCTCCATCATCAGAACACACCAGATATTGTAAAGCTGCTCACTGATCATGTATAGTAATGTTTTTTATTGTGAAAAAATAAACACGTAAACTTAAATAAAACAACATAATGGATTTCATTTACACCTCACCTAACTTCTCAAATATTAATTCACCTCCAGTCTTATCCCATTTATATTTCTTCCTATTTTGTATCTGTTCTTTGTACTTTTCATTTTGAAATTTTTTCAACTCATATACTATTATATCTGCAAATATCTCTCCATATATCTTTAGAAGAAAGGCTTTAAAAACACGATATGCATGATCTAGAATGTGCTGAGCTAGAATTGATTATTTGGCATGCTTTTATTTTGAGCCAGCCTTATGGGAATTAGAACATCATAAGAATAAAAAAAAAGAGGGTTGAGCCCTGTCACATGCAGGCCACATGAGATATTATCACAATTGAAAAGAAGTAAGACTACTTTAATCACTATTTAAATAGTCAAATATCTCATAAATGCCATTGTATTTTTATGGTCTGTTTGTTATAGATCCAAATATATTTATAAATAATAATAGAAATTTTGGCAGCCAGTGGATATCTAGATTGCTACAACTTCTTAGTCATATGTTTTGAATGTTATTACAATGCAGTAAAAATATTAATGGCATAGTAAATCTATGTGTTCAGCCATTTTGTTGGTCTTACTAAGTGCCTTCCATTGTCTGTATGATCTCTGTATGTGTTATATGAGTTCATGTGTGGTGTATGCAGACACATGTGTCTAGGTGTGCATTCCATGCATAGACATGGAAGCCAGAAGAGAGAGTTGGGTGTGCTGTTCTATCAATTTCCATCTTATTCCTTGAGACAGGATCTCTAACTGAGCCTGGAGCTAGGTTGGCAATTTGTAAACTGCCATGATCCTCTGTCTCTGTCTTGTCTAGCACCAGAGTTATAGGCATATGCATCTCCACAGCTGCTTTTTATGTGGGTGATGGGGATTCAAAGTTGGGTCTTCATGCTTGTGCAGCAAGCATTCTTATGTACAGAAGAACCATCTCCCCACCTACACTGTTTTTCTAATTTCAACTGTGCTACTAACTAATAATTATGTCCGTGAGCCATTCACTCAAACTATCTAAATATCAGTTTCAGAATTCAAAGAAAAACCTGTTGAGCTAGAATTGGTTATTTGGTGGTGTTTTTATTTTGAGTCTACTATGTGGGAATTGGGACATCACAGTGCTAAGTAAAATAGAGCCAAACCCTGCCACATATTGGCCACATGAGCTGGGATTTCTTTCTTAACTGACTTTCACCACAGTTTCTGAATCTGTGAAACATAGAGTCATTCGGCTAAATCTGGAGAGATTTTTGTGTGAGCACATAGTGTTGGGGCACAGGGAAAGCTGAATGAAATGAGGACATGTAGGTACATTGATGGCTGCATAGTAATCCCCCAACTGTAATAAATATAGCTCGACTAGCAACTGTTGGTGTGGATAAAGCTAGAAGGTCAGGCAGTGACCAGAGCTCCATTGTTAGCTATGGCACTTGCTAGCCACATATGGCTACTGAGCACTCAGAATATGGCTACCCCCAATCAAGATGTGTTATATGTAAAGTACATGCTTGATGCCTAAGATGTGGCATGAATACACAATATAGTAATTGTTAATGTTTAGTGAATGCTGAAATCATAGTATCTTGACTATATTGGGTTAAGTAAATAAGAAAATAGTATTAAAATTAAGTTCACAATCTCTTTCTCCCTCTCTACATAGTCTTGCTATATGGTTCAGGCTGTCTTGAAAATTGCTACATAGCCCAGGCTGGCCTCAAATTCATGATCTTCCTACCTTGACCTTGTGAATACTCTAAGTACAATCATGCAACACCATGTGAAGTACTCTTGTTTTTAATTGTTTTTAATTTTACACTTGTTTTTAATGAATAGCCACAGAACAATTTAAATTTCTATGTGGCATGCATTATTTCTTTTCGATAGTACTGGAATCCATCAACCACTACCATTCCTGTCA